AGGAAAATAGGAGAGAAAGTCCGGGATAAGGAACAGCATTGCAAGCAAGTCTGGCTGCCAGGCAGGACAGCGTAATCCCACTCTGAGGGTTTTTACACACACGTCTATGCTGAGCCCCACAGCAGCTGGGGACCCAACCCTGCTCCTGTCCCCTGTGGGGCTGGGGTGAGGCTCATGGAGGCATGTACAGCAGCCCACATTGCACCCAGGGCTGTGCCCGCTGGGGAGCTCAGAGATGAGAGAAGACAGGGAGGAGGGGAGAGAGCAGGAGGAGAAAGGAGGATCTTTTTCACCTGTAGCCGGAGGAAGTCCTGGGGTTTGAAGTCATTTGGGGAGCACCCGCACCAGTCGACTATGTGTTTATATTGGCACTTACAGCCCAGCTTCCGGTTCCAGTTGGTCACTCGGAGGTTGTTATCGACCAGCGTCTCGCAGGCGTGACTGTTCTCCAGGACCGTGTGGAAAAAGGACTGTGCGTGGCAGAAAACGGACAGGACACCCAGTGAGAGTGGAGGACGGGGAATTAACAGAGATCTCTACCCCTCACAGGAACTGGACAGACTCGATAGCTTCTGAACAGGAACCTATCCCTGCTCCCAACACATAACGGACCAGGCTGTGACGCACATTGGTTCTCATCTGGCCCAGAGGAGCACCTGGACATCTAAAGCAGGGCTGGATATAAACAAGACCCTTGGCCTGTCTGCTCCTCTGGAAGGATCTGGACAAAGTGGAGGCATAAAGCTGCCTGAGCAGAACCAGGGTGGGGATGAAGTGGGATGAAAGTACAGTGGGAAGAAAATCCAGCCCGTACCCCATGGCAAGCACCCACCTCAGCTGGCAGGAGCGTGTAGGTGTAGAACTGGCGCAGCTGGGACACCAGCTGGTCATCGGCATAGACCACGTACTCCACAAAGCTGCGTGTCAGTGAGAACCAGTCAGAGCCCCCGTCCACCACAATGCCCTCGGGGATGTGGCGCTCACCCAGCCGCCACATGTGGGAGTCACACTCATGGAACAGGCGGTCCAGACCCTGCTTCTTGATAAACCTGGACATGGGGACGAAGATGAAGGGTTACAGAAGTGTCACCCACTTTGCCAGGTGCAGCTACACCCAGAACGTCTCCCTTGTGTCCCAAATGTTTCAGTTCTTTTTCGAAATTCCTCCTTTTTCTGAAATTCCTCCAGCTCGTCTCTGCCCCTAGCTGGAATTACCTGGCATTGTCTCGGCCGTGAGACTTCAGGAAATTCTTATCTCGGTATTTGGACAGGAACATCACCAGCTCCTCATTGGTCCTGAGGTGCAAATCAGAAAAAGCATTAATGGCCCCTGGGGAAAAGCAGCCCCATAAACACTCATCTGCAAGAGACATCAGACACAACAAGCCTGAAGCTGCTTGGTAGGTGCCGATTCAAACACTTGTCCCATTAATGGAGAGACACAGATGTGGTCTCTTGGCCACCTGGCGCCTCACATAGGTGTTCCTCTGCAACACCCACACCGCAGGAAAAAACAGCCTCCAAGGTACTGTCTGGGCTCCTTTGCAGAGACAGGACCAGCCCGGCCCTGGAGCATCGTCACCAGCTCGTGGGTGCAATCTCCAATCCCATCTTTCCTCAGCTCCCAGCTCCACCCTGCCCCTCCCAAGGCTGCTGCAGTACCTGAACAACCAGCATGCAGCCCGAACAACCTCCATCATCCCCTCTGCCCCAGCGAGGTCCTCACCTCGTGGGGTAATCGGTGGCGCTCAGGTTGATGAAGAAGTCCCAGGGCCACTCGGATAGCTCCAGCAGGTCCTTCATGCTGCGTAGGTACATCTTTAGCAGGCTGGCACCTCCCCAGATGGTCACCATGCGCCAAGGTGTCACGCGGATGTTGGGGTAGTGCCGGGCCAGCTCCACCGCCTCACGATGGAGGTAGCTGGAGCGCTGCCGGGGAAACAAGGATCACACTCAGTGGGGAGCTCATCTTCCCGTGGCCCTGCCCTCCTTGCCACCAGCCTGGGGTCAGCCCTTACAGTAGCCTCCACAGGGAAGGGAGCAGCAAGACAAGACCCTGCTTCTGCGGGGTTACAGAAATTGAGGTGGGAGGGTCACAGCACCACCACCAGCAAGCACAAACCTGACCCAGTCACTTCCACCCGTGCCCCAGCTCTGCATCCTGCCCCAGGCACCCTTAGCACCCTCCCGTCCCTTGCCCCGTCATGTACCTTGTCAACGTGGATGTAGAAGAAGTGCTGCTGGTGGTACACGGCCTTGATGAGCCGCTTGAGCTGGCGAATGGCCCTGCCATGCACGACCAGCATGTAGGCGATGCGCACGGGCTTGCTGGGGGGACCTTGCTGCAACCGGCTCTCATCCCACTGGATGACAGGGCTGACCTTGCCTGCACGGGGAGGGAGAGGGCTGTGACAGGTCTTACCTTGCCTGCACGGGGAGGGAGAGGGCTGTGAGCCAGCTCCACCGTGGCACCCACCACCCACGGCTCCCGGTAAACCAGGAAGGTCCAAGCAAGGTGAGGGACAGCATGGAAGAGCTCAGCCTCAGGAAAGCCCCATCAGCACAGCCCAAACCACAATAAACAAAAGGCAGGTGGTTCCAGTAGCAACTTGTGTCAAATCAACAAGGCCACCTTTGGAAAGGGGGGTATCCTGTGGCCCCTCGAAATGGAAGATGCAGCTGGCACTGGCTCTGACCTCTGCAGGCACTGCAGGTCGGGATGAACGCACCAGCTTAAGGAGGCCGGCACAGCTTTGACTGGATTACAGAGGCAGCAGTAATCTGGGAATCTGTGACAGACTTAGCCGCTTTTTACCAGGTGGGCCAG